CTAGTAGTCTCTCTGCCAAGAAAACCTCATGAACAGTTGGTCCATGGGTCACCAACAGTCAGACACAACTGAATGACTGGACAACAACATCTTCATCCCCCATATCCAATCTGTTGCCAAACCTCATCAGTTCTACCTCCACAACATCTCTCACACACATCCCTTTCTTTTCACCCATATGGACCCCACCTCACTTAAGACTCTCATTACCTCTTGCCTGTTCTATTATAAAAGTCCCCAATTGCTTCCCTTGCCTCAAGTCTCTTACCTCTCCAACATATCCTCCACTCAGCTGCTAGTAATATTCCTAAAGCACCTTGACCATGTCACTTAATTAACTATTCAAGAAATTCTAGTGTTATCCTTATTATCACTAAATATAAACTCTTCAGATATACATATACACACATACACACATATATAAATTACACACACACACACACACACACTCCTTTTTGGCACTGAACACGCTTCACAATGTGTATCCAGCCTCGCTTTCCAATTTTATTCCTTCCCCGTGCTCTTGTTCTTGACACCATTCCAGCTCCTGCCTCCATGCCTGAGCATGGACTGCCACCCTGGGACAGAAGGAATTTCTTCCTCCCCTTCACCTTCTACAATCTGGCCTTCCTTCAAGGCTCAGCTCTTGTCACTGATCCCAGATGGCTTCAGAGGAGAGAGAGTGAGGCTAGTGACTTTGCACAGGCCTGCCTCACTTAATTCAATCCATCTGCAAGTCAAGGCATCACCTTCCTGATGTCATTGGTGGTCTTTGAGAACAAAAAACAAACAACAAACAAATGCTACCTCCTCCATAAGCCTTTCCTGGTCTCTACCTCCAATCTCTAGTGCCTCCTCCAACAATGACTGTGAATTTATTTTGTCTATATTGATAAGAGTCCAGGTTATATTTGCTTTCTCCCCCACAGAATTTAGGTTTCTTGAAGACATGTATGGACCTATTTAATTTTTGTCTTTGTATCCACAGCACCTGGCATTATCATAGGTGTTTAATCAATGCTTGTGGAAATGAAAACCCAAAGAGGTTAAATGTCTTGCCTAAGGTCACAGAGGTAGCAAGAGGCAGAAGCAGTATATGAACTCAATACCTCCGACTCCAAAGCCTGGGCTTAAAAGAGGCTGAATTTAATTTTAAGGATCTTTTGAAGGAACTGAAGCTGTTTAGCTTGAGAGAGACATGTTAGCAATCATTAAACATTAGAAAGACTGGCATTCCAGGAAGAAGGATAAGATTTTTTTTCCTGATGGAAGGGGGTCAGAACTGAACCAAAAGCACAAGTTTATAAGGAAACATGTTTCAATTCAAAGTCTGGAAAAGCTCCTTGTTAGAACCATCAAAAATGGAATGGGAGGCTGCTGGGAGCAACAAGCTCCCTCCTTCTGGAAGTCCTCACCCACAGGCCGCAGGACTGCTTGCTGTCAATACTATAGATGGGCTTTATGATGCAGTTAGCAACTGGACTAGTACTTTCTGTGTTCTTTTCCAATTCTACATCTAGATTCAAAACAAAAATCAATGAATAAGCATTTAAAGGTACTGTGCTACTGCTAGGGATACAAAGACACAAACAAAATAGTCTCAGACTACTCTATAGATATGTCTATTACTTGACAAAACATTCAGAAAAGAAGCAATCCTCAAATTCATAGAGGCCTTTACATAGAATAGTATTTGCAGTCAAGCAGGAACACATCTAGCAATAAATAACTCATTTAGCTAAGAAATTATGGCTTCTATAACTTTAGTGATTAAAAATTATATTATTTTGACAACAGATGCCAGATAATTCAAATTAGTGGATAAATTATAGAAAAATGAACATCATACAAATGAAATTTTTAAAAAATGAATAAAATAGTTTATAATCATAGTGTTAGATACAGAATGGACTTTATGGATCATTTAATCAAAATCCCTCATATTACAGATTGAGGAAACTGAGATACAGAGAGGGAAAATGTTTTCCCCAGAGGTAACTGACTTTTCTGGCCCTCCGTTTCTTCATTTGTAAAATGTGAAGATCGGATTAGATCAGGGATTCTTAACTTAAGATCCATGAACATTTTTGTAATATTTTGATAACTATTCAAAGTAACTAGCTTCCTTTGCAGTCCTATGTACTTTTGTTTCATGCATTTTAAAATACTATTCTGAGAGGCATCTATAAGTTTCACCATACTGCCAAAGGGGTCAAATAAATTACAAAACCCTAAACTATATAAACCAAAAAGTACCTTTCAGCTTTAAATCCTTTGAGACTCTGCTGTGTTTCCTGGGTCATACAGGTAGTCGGTAAAACAGCCAAAACTAGAACCCAAAATTTCTGGCCTCCTATCAACATGATAGAAATTAACTAATATTTGCAGAGCTCAGGCTTCAGGCAGTCTTGAAGAAGGAAAAATTATTGATTGTGGAAGTCAACTTCAGTGACTCCTCCTTCACTGCCCTTCCCCAGCAGCAAATATCCCCACTCCTGACAGCCTGAGCAGCTGAAAGGAAAACTTCTAATCCATTAGCACAGCAGTTTCTAAAGAAAAAAAAAACTGATTATTTCATTATCTGGTATATCATTTAGCAAGTGTTCCATACCACTGCAGCTAGAATTAAAGGTGACCCTTTGGGACACTGAGAGTACAGCCACAGATGCTTTGGTCAGGTTTCAAAAATTGAGCATAGCAACACACATTTTCTATACTGCCACATGGCTCAGCAGAAAGTCACAGGCTAGGAAAGAGTCACATGCAAAGGTAAAAAAGGGAAAGTTAAGCAATATGAAATGGCAAACTATTAAACTGTGCTGATTACTTGTGTGTTACACCATGGCAGAAAAGTTAAGAAGGTGGGAACAAGAAGGAAAAAGAAAACCAATCAGAAGAGTGCAAATCAAAAATCATTTCCCTATATATACTCAACTATTTTCTTTTTTTTAAATTTAATTTTACTGACAGTTTTTATTTCACCTCACCCTCACCTCCACCTGTATAACTACTTCTTCCTCCACCAAAAAAAAAAGGCTTAAAAAGAGGGGAAAGAAGTTCAGTAGAACCAACCAACACATCAACTGTGTGAAAATATATAAAATATTCTATACCCTTAGTTCCCCATCTCTTTTTTTTTTTAATTTTTAGGCAACTGGGGTTAAGTGACTTGCCCACGGCCACACAGCTAGTACGTGTCAAGTGCTTGGTCTGAGGCCAGATTTGAACTCAGGTCCTCCTGACTTCAGGGCCAGTGCTCTATCTACTGCGCTACCTAGCTGCCCCCTCCCCATCTTTACAAAGAGAAGAGGTAAGTACATTTTCTTACCTCTTATTCAGTGCCACTATTAGTCATTATAATTACCCATTATCCAATTTCACTCTTTTTGTTCTTTCCATTTACACTGTCATTGTCATTATGTAGATTGTTTTCCTGGTTCTATTTGTCTCACATTGCATCAGTTCATATATTATTCCATAATTCTTTGAATTATTCTTATTTGTCATGCCTTATTCTCCAGTAATATTCTGTTATATTAATAGACTACAGTTTGTTTAGTTATTCCTTAATCAATGGGTAACTACTTTGTTTCTAGTTCTTTGCTATCAGAAAGAAGTGCTACTATAACTGTTTGGGTGTAGAAGGGATTTTACTGTCTGTCCACAAACTCTCTGGAGTACACACCTAGTAGTGAGACTCAGGGGTTGAAGAGCAGTGACATTTCAGTCACTCCCTCTGACTCAGTGGACTCACAGGGGTCTAGACGACTAGTCTTGGGGGACGTGAAGATGGAATTATGTTCAAGGACTGAACTGGACTAGATGGTCCCTAAAGCTCCTTCCTTCTGAAAACCTGAGCTGAATCATCTGTACCACAGCCCTCCTCTTAAGACTCCAAGAAAAGAAAACGTTCCCCCTCCTATGGACACCCATCCCACTACTGAATAACTCTATGTGAGGAATTTCTTCTTTCCATTCAGCTTAAATCTGCCTCTTTTCAGTTTCAGCACACTGCTCCTAGTTCAGGCCGTCTCTCTTCTACCATCTACGCAGACCCTTCCCACATCTGAAGACAGCTATCACGCCTCCCAAAAACATCTTCTCTTCTCAAGAGGAAAGAGTCACAGGGCCTTCAACAAACAGCTCCTCATACTCCACCTTATTAAAGTCATTCCTAAAATATGCTCTATAGAACTGAACACAAGACTCCAGAGACGGCACAGAATGGCCTCATGTGGTATATAGAAGGACAATCTGCTGCCTTTCCCCGGGGAGAGTTCAACTGGAAACTGCATGCCCACTCGTCAGGTACACTGTAGAGAGGAATGCGGCTCAGGTACAGGTTGGATCAGATAACCTCTAAGTCCCCTTCTCATTCTGAGATCTGATACTTCAGTAAACCTGTCAATGGTGAGGAGATGGCAGCCAAATACAGGGCTTGTTTCAAAAAGAGAAGGACCAGGACCAACTTCTAATGTTTACGATTTGCTATAGGGAAATTTGTGATGAAAACAAGGCAGCAAAAGAAGACTCTCTGAATCAAATTATTTGGTATTTTTTTAGCATTATTACTAGGAGTAGCCTCCAACAAATCCCTTCTCCAATGCTTCCTCTGATGTGTAAATTATACCGGTTTCTCAAAGACTTTTCTAAAGCAGCACAAAGTTTGACAAGTTCTGCACCTAGAAAAGCTAAAAATAGGAACCCAGGAGCTGCTGTCCTAACAAATTCCTCAGGTGCAGAAAGATTCTCCAACAGAAAGTTAACCACTAGATGCTGAAATGTGGAAACTCAACTACTCCTGAAGAGTATCTACCACATTATGGAAATGTTGACATCTTTATCTGTAGAAAGGATATACATACTGACAAAACTATATTTTTTGAAGTATTACAGTAATGTGAAGTTTGCTACAAGTAAAAGATCAAATTAATTAACACTAAAAGTAATGACAGAGACATTACTGTAAAGAAAAAAAATGTGATAAAGCAACACCTTACCAATTCGATTCCTTGTGGAAAAGGTGTATCATCCCAATCCTTCTGTGGAAACCTCTGGATTATTTTTCCCATTCCTTCTGCAGACCCTGTAAAAGAAATTCAAGGCAAATTTGTAGTTATAATGTAAAATAACAACTCGCAAAATAACTATTTTTAAAACAATTCAACAAACCACTTATGACTAACTTTCAACAGACAACTGAGTAAATATTTATTAAGCATGCTTATGCATATACAGGTTCCTATTTACAGGCTATTTTAACTACATAATTCATTTTATAATTATAGGTAATCCTTAAGAAAGCAGATTTGTGCAAATGTCTCAATTTTCAAAAATTGTTAAAAAGGATATTTCAAAAATGGTAGATTAATGACCTCGACATTAATTCTCAACAAATCTCTAAAATAGGCCATTAAACAAATGGTTGGTGAATACTTGGGAAAGCAGAAGGAATCACAAGAAGCCAGCATAGTTATTAAAACAACAAAGTCAACACTGCTACACCCAAAACCTCAATGGAAAAAAAAAATGTGAATTGATCTAAGAATGTGAATTGGTCTCAGGCCCAAAAAGAATTCCTAGAAGACCTCAAAAAGGATTTTAAAAATCAAATAAAAGGGGCAGCTAGGTGGTGCAGTGGAGTCAACTTAACCTCAAATGCCTAAAAAAAAAAAAAGAAAAGGCAAAACAAATCAAATGAGAGTGGCAGAGGGTGAAAGAAGTCAAAGTGATGCAAGAAAATCATGAAAAAAGAGTCAACAGCTTGGTAAAGAAGGCATAAAAAAATACTGAAGAAAACAACACTTTAAAAAACAGAATAGGGCAAATGATAAAAGACACAAAAATCTAAGGAAGAGAACTCCTTAAAAAGCAGAACTGGCCAAATAGAAAAAGAGGCAAAAAATTCACTGAAGAAAATAACTCCTTAAAAAGTAAAATTGGTGGCAGTTTTCAGATGAAGAAATTAAACTATCTATAGTCATATGAAAAAATGTTCCAAATCACTATTGATTAGAGAAATGCAAATTAAAACAATTCCAAGGTACCACATCACACCTATCAGATTGGCTAACATGACAAAACAAGAAAATGATAAGTGCTGGAGAAGATGTGGGAAAATTGGAATACTAATGCATTGTTGGTGGAGTTGTGAACTGATCCAACCATTCTAGAGAGCAATTTGGAACTATGCCCAAAGGGCTATAAAACTGCATGCCCTTTAATCTAGCAATATCACCTCTAAATCTAAGGGGAAAGGATCCATATGTACAAAAATATTTATAGCAGCTCTTTTTGTGGTGGCCAAGAATTGGAAATTGAGGCGATGCCCATCAATTGGGGAATGGCTGAACAAGTTGTAGTATGTGAATGTAATGGAATACTATTGTGCCACAAGAAATGATGAGCAGGTAGATTTCAGAAAAACCTAGAAAGACCTACATGTGCTGAGTGAAAGGAGCAAAAGCAGGAGAACATTGTACACAGTAACAGCAATACTGTATGATGACCAACTTTGATTGACTAAGTTCTTCTTAATAATGCAATGATCTAAAACAATTCCTTCCAGAAGACTCATGATGGAAAATGCTATCCACATCCAGAGAAAGTCTGGAGTCTGAATGCAGATCAAAGTATACTATTTTCTCCTTTTTTTCTCTTGTGGATTTTCCCTTTTGTTCTGATTCTTCTTTCACAACATGACTAATGTGGAAATATGTTTAATATGATTGTACATGTATAGCCTAAATCAGATTACCTGCCATTTTGGGGAGGGAGGGGCAGACAGGAAGGGGAGGGGAACTTAGAATTCAAAATCTTATAAAAGTGAATGTCGAAAACTAAAAATTAATTAGTTGATTAATTAATTTTTTAAAAAGCAGAATTCGTCAAATGGGGCAGAGGGAAGGTACAAACGCTCACTTAGAAATAATTCCTTAAAAATTAGAATTGGGCAAGTGGAAGCTAATGACTCCATGAGACATCAAGAAACAAAAAAACAGAGGCAGCTAGGTGGTGCAGTGGATAGAGCACCGGCCCTGGATTCAGGAGGACCTGAGTTCAAATCCAACCTCAGACACATAACACTGACTAGCTGTGTGATCATGGGCAAGTCACTTAACCCCACTGCCTAGCCAAAAAAAAAAAAGAAACAATAAAACAAAGTCAAAAGAATGAAAAAAAAATAAAAGAAAAGGTGAACTCTCATTGGAAAAACAACTGACCTGGAAAAGAGATCAGGAAGAGATAATTTAAGAATTATTGGACTACCTGAAAGCCATGATCAAAAAATGAATCTAGATATCACATATTTTAAGGGATTATCAAGGAAAACTGACTGCCCTGATACAAATGTGCTCACAAACACACATAAAGCCCAAAATCTAATCTATTTGTGATCTTATCAATGTGAGTACTTCTTTCAGCAATGCATAACATATCCCATGCATGCCTGCCATTCTGTCAGACTCTTGGGCATATCACCTCACAAATCTGACACAGAGGGCCCACTTAACATATTAGGGAGCTTCCTCTTGTTCTTTTGACATTTCATAGACACTAATGGAGCACTCCGGCTGTCCATTAGTTATCCCTAGATCTGACCAAGTTACCAACCATCTCATCTCTTTTTTTTTCCCCAGTCTTATATTTATTCTTGGTCGATATCCTTATAGCATTTCTCCCCACTAAGTCCTCATCTATAATGTGTGCCTGTTCATATATACATATAACTTAGCAGGCTGCAACATATACTATATCATATTTGGTAGGGAGTGATGGAAATAAAGAAGAAATCCAGACAGAGTATGCTAAGGCTATCTGGAAAAGAAGAACAAACTTTTATTTGTGAGGGGAAAGGAATTCAAGGAAGAATTTCCAGAGGAGGTGGCACTTAAGCTAAGCATTAAAAGAAGATAAAGACCATGAAAGATAGAAATGAAGAGGAAGTAAATTCTAGAGAAAGAAGACAATTTGTGTGAAGGGCATGGAGACAGGAGATGATATATCCAATTGTGGAAATAATACAAAATAAGATGGAAAGGGAGAAAGAAATCAGACTGTGAAGGGCCTTAAATGTCTACTGTATTTAATATTACTAGCAAGAGAAAAAAATCATTGAAGTTTTTTGAGCAAGGGGGTGTCATGATCAATACTATGCCTTAGGAAAAATTATTTGGCAGTACAGAGTATGGATTAGAGGAGGGGAATGGTGATCAGATAGAAGACTAATAAAATAAACCATGTAAGAAGTGATGCTGACCTGAAATTAGGTGGTGGCCCTGAGAACAAAAAGGTAACACTGTATGTCAGAGAAGCTTTGGAAATAGAATGAATAAACATATATGAAACATATGTGAAGTAGAGGAGGGGGCAGCAGACACAGCAGATAGCTGTGGAGAACTAAAGAGAAGTTATTAAAGTTTAAAGGGCTGAAGGGAGAGACAAGAGAATGAACAGAATATCCAAGATGCACTAATCAGAAAATGCAGGTACTTACAAGATAGATTTTTAGAAGAGTCTATTTTAAAAGAACAGGGGGAGAAGAGAAATAGAATTCTTAACGGAAAACCAGGAAGACCTGACACTATCTGGATAATGTGGAAGGAGACTGCAGTGTCTTATTAGGTAATAGCCAATGAGAAAGAGTCTAATGGAGCCCCAAGGGGGGGGGCGCCTGTGGGTACTGATTCCAGAAACTAAAAGAGGGGAGGAAGGGGGCACCATAGGAAATAGCCTGACCCAAGAGTGTACGGTAGACTAGATAAGACATCCTTAATCTCAAGGATGAGGACCAAGAGAAAGGGATGGCGAACTGAAGGGGAAGTGGTAAGACTGGAAGAGACAGTTTAGTGTTTTAAACCTGCACCAACAAAACTAAAAAGCAGCTGTATTTGTGATTCACCTCCACAGTATATATCAATAGCACATGTTCCAATTTTTCCTGACACTATAGAAAAGTTTAGCTGGACATTTAAAATAACTTGGTGAGATGGACTACAGTGAAAAGGGTGAAAGTTGAGAATAATTGAGCACTGACAGAGAAACAGCAGCATGGCAGTGGGGAAAGCATTGGATCAAAGGATGTGGCTAAGAACTACTCCCTTTTTCTGTCCTGGAGGAAGGCAGCAAAAAGATAACATAAAATGAATCCTACTGGGACAATCATAACCTGTTCTATCATATGATTTCCTTGGTATGAGAACTGTATACACAGATTGAGATCACAGCCATTCTACAACTTAAGTAATGAAGCCTTACAGAATTCTCAGAGGCTCAGAAAAGCTCCATGATTTGCACATGGTGATAGAGCCAGTAAGTAGAAGAGTCAGATTTTGAACCCAGGTTTTTCTCACACCAAGTCCAGCAATGCTATAATTACTCTTTTGGAGTTATGTGATTCACTTTACTAAAGCTTAATATCAAGATTTAAAGTTAATTTTCATTCTTTCAACAAACACCATTTGACCACGAGGAAAGGCAACTCCTATAAGGGTAAATGTTAGGAAGAACCCAAAAACTATTTTAAAGTTTTTAAGCAGCTAAAGAACATGCAGATAATCAACAGGTGATGCAACATTTATATTAAATGAACTGACTAAAGAATTTTAACAACATTTAAGGATAGGGACTGGATCTGCGATCTAATTAGTATATGGAACTAACTCCCAGATGAGGGACTCCCTCTACCAATGCAATTCCCTCTACCTTCTCTACAACTTTGAGCCTTAAAGAGCTACTTCAGCGACTGAGAGAATAAGTGACATGCCCAAGGTCCTAAAGTATGGGTCAGGAGGAGGACTTTAAACTAGGTCTTTCTGGCTTCCACGCAGGCTCTCTATCCATTATGCTGGGCTAGCTCTCACAACACAAAAGAATAATTCCCTTTAAATAAGAGCATGTAAGAAATCCATCACTTTTTCCTTGGCAATCCCACTGCAGAAATCACTCTTCCCCTTTAAGTATTGTTTATAGAAATATGAGTTCCTAAACCCCAGTCCCTTCATCAACTTTCTTGCATAAATCTTTGTCCCACTTTGGGTCAAAATGCCATCTCTTTCATGCCCTTTAAATTCCAGAAGTGAACTG